ATATATATATATATATGCATGTGACAAACTAAAGGAAATCAAGGAGAAAGATAAGTAAAATTCCAGAACATAGTTTTCTCTGGGGGTTGATGGGAGGATGATGATAGGGAGGAGAAAATGGGACTTCAGGGCAGCAGGAAGGTTCTATTTATTAAGCTGGACGGTTTGTATGTGGGTGTGTTTATTATTGGTTTGTATTACGTATACATTATGTATTTTGTATTTAAAAGGCATTTTATTTTAAAACTAGGAAAACCCACACTAAAACCCTGGGTCTTGGGGAAAATGCCCACTAGCCCAGAACAAAGCCCTGCACTCCTTTGACGTGAATGAACCTGCAGGAGAGCGTGGTGGCTGGTCCTATGTCCTGCATTCTCCTGCCCGTGGCCCCCTCCCCTGACACCTGCCCCTAGCCGTCACAGCAGCTCTGCTTATCTGAGTTTATAGTACGGGCTTCTGAGGAAGATTTTACGGGGATGAAAAGGGTTTGCTTCCTTTAAGACTTGCAACGCCCTGGATTTAATGCATGTCCTGAGTGTCCTTCTGGCTCTGGCCTGCAGGGTGAAGGGCCCACACCCTGCTTTCCTTTGCTGTCACAGGGGATCCTCACTGCCCCCCACCCCCACCTTTTTTGAGATTATCCTTCCTCCATCTCGGCCCTATGGATCCAGACAACATTTTTCCACGAAGAACTCAGACTGAACTGAGGCACTTGTTTGAGGGATATTCCTTGGGATCAGGGTCAGGGAAGAGCCCACTTGTGCCAGAGGAGACCCCGGGGTCACAGAGAAGCCAGTTCATCATCATCATCGGCCACATTATTATTACTGTTTTATTCCTTGCTCCCACTGGAAAGGGCTTGGGTCAGCCATCTGTCCTGCAGTAAGACAGCTGGCCACAAGGGGCAGCAGGAGGCAAAAGCTTTGCCTGAAAATAACTGCAGGTCTCTCAATGCAGATCACTGAATCCTAGGAAGAGAAGCACCCGAGCCTCTGCCCCCAGACTGCATTCCAAAGAGAGAAGCCACGAGCCCACGGCTGGTCAGGAGAGTGAGACAGAACTAGAATCGGAAGATCGACGTCTCCCATGCACACTAGGACTCTAGCCCTGAGCTGGGCCTGGACAGAGGGGCCCAGGGGTGACGGTCCATAACCTCCTTGTCCCCATTCTTCTGAGCATGTGGGCTCTGGGGTCCCCAGGGCTGCTCACAGAGCTCCCAGGCTAGCAGAGGAGTCAGGATTGACAGAGCTACGCAGGAGTCAATGCGAGAATGGGTTGACACAGGACGGGCTGCCCTATGGGTCCCTAAGAGGAATCAGCAGGAGAGAGAGTTGGGTGGACACTGTTCTCAGGGCAGGCTTCCTGGAGGCTGGCTCCGGCTGAGGCTCAGTGGGATATCAACACCGGGAGGGAGCGGGGCTTGAGTGGAGCGGGAGTTGAGAGCTGGGAGCAGTGGGAGATGAAGCTGGGGCAGGGGTGAGGCTCAGACAGCCCTGAGTCTTCTTTCAGGAAGACTCAGGCCCTGAAAGCTGGCCTGGGGTTTAAGCTGGGAGAGGGAGCTGGGCCTCGCAGAGGTTCTGCAGGCCGGCTGGATTGCAGCATGTGCTGGGGACTGGGAGGTGGGCGAGTCAGGGAAGGGGCTGCAGGAACCGCCAGGCTAGGGAACTCCCTAGCGCTCAGTAGAACCCCTGCAAGGAGAAGGCCCAGAAACATTTGTGGAATTGGACAATGCTCCCCTCCTCCCTCCTGGCACTGATATCCCATGAGCCTCAGCCCGAGCCAGCCTCCAGAAAGCCTGCCCTGAGAACAGTGTCCACTCAACTCTCTCTCCTACTGATTCCCCTAGCTCTTAGGGACCCATAGGGCAGCCCGCCCTGTGTCAACCCATTCTCGCATTGACTCCTATGTAGATCTGTCAGTCCTGACTCCTCCGCTAGGTTGGGAGTTCTGTGAGCAGCCCTGGGGACCCCAGGACCCACTCTTAAAGGGGAAGTATGTCCTCAGCTCCTCACAGGGCAAGGAATCACAGATGAGCACAGGGGCTGGAGACTGGGGGACTTTGAGGACAGACAAGACAAGAACATACCCAGATGGCCCTTCCCAGAGACACTACCTGCCAGCGCATGGCAGAGGAAATGCTGAACCTCTCGTCCACCCTGCGCTGCTCATCCCGTGGACACTCTCAGCCCTGGCCCTGCCTCTCTTACCAGGACCCCCTCCCCCGAGTGTGGCCTCAGCAGCCCTGTCCCCCTCTAAAGCGTAGTTCCCTCTGTGACCCGGACAGGGCAAGACCAGATGTTCTGCAAGGGCCCAGTGTGACAGGCGAGGTGGACAGAACACGCTGACCTGGACTGAGGGAGAGAGACTTTATTCTGCACCCTTTCGTGCCACGGTTCCAGTTCAGAAAAGGAGACGAACGTCATCCTTGTCCTCTTAGGGGTGGCCTCCACGGGACCCAAGCAGCTGGGGGGTGGGGTAGCGAACACCGAGGCCACCGGAAGTTTCCAAATCATCCAGGGAGAAATCAGGACACTGGTGCAATTCTTTGCAAGTACTTGACTGCCTTCTTCACCTTCATGTTCTTGGGGTCTGCACAGATATTCTTGCCCCGGACAGTGACAAACCTGCACAGAGGGCGAGAGCCACCCAGGGTGTCTCGGCGGGAAGGCCTTGCAGAGCCCTGAGACCAGCTTTGCCCCACACTGACCACGATTTGCTGAAGTCACATGGTGTCAGTGGGACGTCAGGGACATCAGGCTGTCCTCTGATTCTTGACCCTCCCAGAGAGCCAGGGCTGCAGGGCTGTCTGTCCCTACCTCAGACTGCCCAGCCTGCCTAGGGCCTGGGAGGGGCCTGGCGCTCAGATCTGTCTCTCCTCCTGCAGCTCGGGTCCAGGCTGGGGGAAGTGACTACATCGGCTGCTACTGCCTGTGTGACAAGGAGCTGTCCCATCTCCCTTGGGGCCTCGATATCCCCACAAATCAGTGATGGCCTGCGGCCTTTGGGCACTGCAGGAACTGCCCTAAGGAGCAGGGTCAGGGGACGCGAAGGCCTTGCTCTCTCCCTCCTCTCCCCAGAGGCCATTCTGGGAGCTCCACGGTCCTCCTACCACACTCAGCTTCCAGGAGCAGGGCGTGGAGGAGGGGCGGGGGAGACTTACACGATGGCTTCCTTGGTACAGTCCTCTGAGGTCTTGTACCACGTCACCAACTTTCTGATAGGAATGACTCCTTCAAAGTACTGTCGGCAGCACTCCCGGCCTACGTTGGTTGCCCGAGCTACAGAGAAAGAAACAGGAATCGGTGTGTCTGTGAGTGTCTGTGAGTGTCTGTGAGTGTGAGCGTCTGCACGGGGGCATCTGGCGGGGTTTGTGGCTGTGGGAGGGTCTGCGGTCGGTCTGTGTGCACTTACGCGTCTGTGGAGGTGAGTCCTCATGTGTATATCTTTGTGTGTGTGTGTCTATGTGTTACAGGGTTGGGTCTGTGTTTGTATGGGGGTTTTGTGTGTGCCTGGATGTTGTTGGGGGGGTCTGTTATAAGGGCTGTCAGTGTGTTTCCATGTGGGAAGTGTGTGAGGGGCCTGCACATGTGTCTCTGTGTGTGTCCAGTGTGCACAGTTGTGTGTATGAGGTCTCTGTGTGGACGTGGGGAGGCCCCGTGTGTTTGTATATATGTGCGTGCATGCGTCTGTGTGTGTCTGGGAGGGTCTGTGTACGTTCCCGTGAATGTGTGTCTTCATATGTCTATGCAAGTGTGTATCTGTGTGTGTTTAGGGGAGTCATGCACACTTATTTGCACATATGTCTCTGCGTGTGCATCTGTGTGTGCGTCTGTGTAGTCTGTGTGTACACACTCAATACCAGCCCTGGATCAGCGCATGTTCACTCTGGGCCAGCTTCTGAGCTGAGCCTTTCCCAGCAGCAACTCATTCGGAGACAGGAGCTATCATTACCCCATTTTACAGCTGATAAATCGGCAAACTGGTAACACGCGGCTTTAGATGATACCGCACCAGCAGGTTTCCTAAGTAGTGCCGACTGCCCTCTGACCCACTGGGTCTGTAACCTGGTCTGACTCACTCTCAGAGCTGAGTCGGGTTAAGGCGGCCCACAGAGAAGGCAAGCTCAGACTGCAGTTCTGTCTCCAGGCAGGGCAGTCACCGGCTTTGTGTCTAGTTTCAGCCTTCCTTTCCCCACTGAATATAAAAACCTCTTCGTTCACACCCTCTGGGAACCAGTTCTCCTGCTCTTATGCCCATTCCCTCATGGTGCATAAGACCCGTTCATAAAGCAGATGCTAACAAATACGTTCGAGAACTGTTCGCTTTCCACGGTCGAAGCACAACCATTGTCGGCGCGGAAGAGCCACTGCAGTGTGAGATGCACAGGCACTTTGTCCCTCCCCGAGCCAGTCCCCAGGCACAGAGATGCCCTCGCCCTTCCTCTCCCTCCCCCTCATCATCACCTTTATTATTATTTTCCTCTGAATACCTCCCTTGAAAGCCTTATTGCTACCAGCCTCCCACATCCTTGTAAGAATAAATATGGTGCAGAAAATACACAACTATGCGTGTGTTGCTGCTGTGGTCCCTCCTCTCCTCGGCTCTCACCTGCATGGGTGTCCTGCAGAGAACTCCCCAGGAGGAGGGTGACCAGGAGCAGCATCTTCAGTGGAGTCATGGTGCCTGGAGCCCAGGAGAGGGTCTCTGCATGTGGGTCCCTCTGCTCGAGGGAGACAAATGTGGAGGTGACCTATTTAACCTCTTTGGGGATCTTGCCCCGCCTCCTATCCCCCCGCCCTCACTGCCCCCGTACACATAAACCCTTCCCTAGACCAGTGGAGTTCGAAGAATTTGAAATGATTCAGTAGAAGTCCAGGGTTGGAATGTTTGTGGCTTTCCAGAGAATGGGCACCCAACTGGGGACAGAGATGGGGTATGTATGTCCGGGGGCCACGACACAGACACACTTCTCTTTTTGCAGAGTTTTTGGTTCCTCTATTAAAACAGAAAAGGCTCTGTACTAAACTGGGCTTATCACTGCTCAGAGCCTGGGGAGCCTCCTTTGTGCCCCATGCCCTGGGCAGGGGGACAAGAGAGGCTGTTTCACCTGGGCCCGGAGGAGTTCAGGGTGCAGGAAGGCCCCCCTGAAGGGGGTACAGGGGGCTGTACCGCCCACTGGCATCTCTCTGCAGGGAGGGCCACAGCTCCATCTCATTCTGAGAAAGGCCTGAGGCCCAGAAAATTTTGGCTGTGGGTCCTTCCCCAAGTTCAAGTTCAGGGTCTTCCCCTGAACCACAGAAGGCCAGAGGTCAGACAGGTTTAAATCACCATTTCGTCCAAATTTGTACTTGTGTAGATTGGAAAGCCACATTCCCCCAAATGCGGCATTTCACTCTAGGTTGAAGAAAGGGATGAAAGGCGCCATGGCTGACGATGCCCCTGGTTCCCAGCAGAGCCAAGTCTGCATCAGACATGCAGTCAGGGTCCAGCCCGAGCCAGGACCTGAGCAGACTTTCCATGAACCTACCTATCACTGCACAGGGCCAGTCCCCTGGCCACCAGAGAAAATAGCCAGTTGTCTGGGCCAGAGCATTACATCCCTTAACTAGATGAGAGCCTTGTGCCCACTTCCAGGTGGGCGGCATCTCAGCGGGGGGCGGGCACTGGGCTTTGACTCTGACACACGGGACTTAGGCCTGGCTCCACCGCGTCCCCGAGTGACCTGGGCAGCTTGAAATGACACTGCCCTGCAATGCGGTGTCAGGTCCATCTGCCCTCTCGGTCAGCTCTGTGCTCATCATCAGGACGTTACTAAATCTGCATCCCCAGGGATGATGTTTGTTGAAACCCGACTGTCCCAGGAGCAGTGCTCAGACGGTAACCTCATCAGCCCCCACTGTGAACTCGTGCGAGGAAATCATGACACTGGACGAGGTCGTAGGAGGGAAAGGCCAGGTGCGCCTCTTCCTCCCTCAGGGCCACCCAGGGAGGCTGGGACTGATGCAGTTGCTGGGGGACTGGGAGTCCCCCTGTCCATGGCACAACCTCCCTCTGTCACAGTCTCGCTGTGTGACCTCGGGCAACTCACAGACCCTCTCTGGGCCTCAGTTTTATCACCCGGAGAGAGATGTTTGGACTGTCCCAGGGGACCCCACCAAGATGGTAGATCTGAGAAAGATGGGGTCCTCCCTAGAGGACCTCGCTCGAGCGTTTCCCTGCCAGAGGTCCCTAACCTCCCCGCTCCTCCGGCCATAGCCTGGACGGACTCTTTGCCCCCCGCTTGTCGGGCTGGGTCACCCCTCCTGTCCCCAGGGCAGACTTCCATTTGTAGTGGGGTAAAGAGGAGGGAGCGGGGTCTCCATGTTTGACTCCGGCTTCCTGCAGAAAGGGAGGAGCAACCTCCGCCTCCAGCAGAGGACCCCCCAGCAGCCCCCAACCCACCGAGTCAGAGGAGGCCGGACTGGGCGAGGGAACTGGGGGAAGGGGTGCTGGTGCCCCAGGGACCCTGGCTGGGGAGAGGGGAGCTCTGGCCTGGAGACAGAGCCTTGGGCCTGGAGGACACACAGGAGCTGGAGGTGCATGGGGAGGCCAGGGTCCTAGGAGGAGGCAGAGGGCGAGTGTCTCTGCTGGTGTGGCTTCTCTTGGGTCGGGTGTCTCCTGACCCCCTCTGGCCTCCGTGGCCTCTGCCCAGTGGCTTCCGCCCACTGTCTGTAGCTTCTCCACCTCCATAGCCCTTCCGCCCCGACCCCCACGAATGCCCAGCCCCGCCCCTTCTGGATGACAGGGGATTAGTAGTAGCAGTTTGTTAACCGTGAGTGAGGCCCCAGTCCCCGCTGCTGGGGAAACTCCCCGAGCGGGTTTTCAGTCACCCCTGTTCTGCTGCAGACTCAGAACTTTTCTCTAGAAGGACTCAAATTCCCCTGTCCCTTCTGGGGAACAGGTGACAACAGCAGAAGCAGGGGATCTGTACTAGCTCCGGGTGGTGCAGGCTGCCCGGGAGTGGGGGAGGGAGGACACAGAAGCAAGTGTGCCAGTGAGTACCTGCTGTGTGCCCGGCTGCGCCAGGGACTAGGGACCGGGCAGAGGCCAGATGTGGCCTCTGTCCTTGGGGGAGTCCAGAGTCACGGGGGCTGGAGGAACAAGGCTGGCCCCACACAGGGATGAGCAAGTGAGATAAAGGGCCATGGGGCCCAAAGTGGGGAGAGGTTACTTCTGGCCAACTTGGAGGACTGCATGGAGGCAGAGGCTAGTGCGCTGGGCCTTGTGGGTGGGAGAGAACCAGAGGCAGCCATTCTACCTGAGGGAAGCACTTAGCGAGGGCGCGGAGAAGGGAATGTGTAGAAATAAACGAGGGAACTCTGGTGAGCAGAGTGGCCGGATGTGACACCCAGAGAGAAAGCTCCGTGAGGACAGGGGCATGCCCGCTTTGCCGGCCACCACGTGTGTCCCCAGCGCCAAGCGCAGTGCCTGGCACACAGTGGGCTTCCTGCGACTGAGTGAATCAGGCCTGAAGGACAAGGAGGCGAGCCTGGGCCGGTGCCTGGGGACACTGTGGAGGGCCTAGCACAACTCTCGGCCTTAGTTGGGAGGCCACAGAGACCCGGGACATTTCTGAGGTGGTTTCCTCACCAAGGATTAACTGACTTATTCCTCTTTGGTTCGTCCAGCTATGAAACAGATTCCAAGGGACCTTCCAAATGGAATGCCCAGGAGTCTGGGCCTGTGATAAGGGCCTCGAGAGACCTTTATGGTGCTATGAGGACCCTAAGAAGCGGAGGTCCGTCAGGGGAATCAAGAATGCTCTCTGGAGGAGGCAGCCCTTTGGCGGAGCTCTAAGGAGGGGTAGCGGGGGACAGGGCACTCCTGCTGGGGGAAGGGCAAGGGCACAGACCGAGAAGCAGGCCAGACATGGGCCTGTGAGAATGGAGTCGAAGAGGAATTGGATCTGAGTGAGAGGAAGCAGCAGCGATGGTGGCTCCCCGTCTCAACACCTCCGACTCACAGAGGCCAGACACGCTGCCCGTGCACCTGCCACGCCTCCTGCCCCAGCCCCGGGACTGCTGCCCGAGTGGTCCCCTGGGGTAAAACCAGCTGGAGGGGTTCAACATCCCCACCGCCCACCCGCTTCAGACCGAAGGGCTGAACCAGTGAGATTCTGGGTCCTTCGCCCTGAAAGGGAGGGAGGGCGGATCCTGCCCCACCTCTGTCTCTACTATGGCTGGGTGGGACCAGGGATGTTGCTGTCACAAGGGCAAGAGCTGAGCCCCAGGCTGTGGAGCAGGGGACAGGTTGCTGGGATGGAAGCTCACCATCATCCTCAAATTGCACATGGCAGTTGTCACGGGTGGGGGTGGGGGTGCAAAAGTCATCACTCCAGTCACGCCAGTGTCAGCTGAGGCTCCAGGAGGGGCAACGACTTGCCCAGGGAAGGATCTAGTCTTTTATCCACCCAGCCCCATCCTCTGGCAGCCGAAGCGGAGCCAAGAGGTGAAGGTCTCAAATGTTATTTTCATCCACCGATCTCAAAATACATCTCTCTCTCCTGTCCCAAGGGCCTGACATGCTCACTGATGAGTCAGTCGTTCCTGACAGGTTGTCGGTCCACTTGACTTTTCAGGTCAGAACTGCAAGAATCATCCCTCACCTTCCATGCCCGATCAGCAAGACCTGTTGTGTCGGCCTCCTAGACGTGTCTTGAATCCATCTCCTCACCATCCGCATGGTCACCCCCTTCACATCTCCGCTAGACCCCGGCCCCACACTCACCTCCTTGCTTCCAGCCTTGCCCCTGTAGTCCGTCCTCTTCCTTAGAGCCCAATGATCTTCTCCAAACACAAATCTGAACAAGGCTCCCCCTCCTCAAAACCCTTCGATGCCTCCCTGTCGCTCTCAAGATAAAGTCTAGACTTCCGCTGACTCCTCCAGCCTCAGCTTTTGCCCCCAGCCCCACCAATCTCCACATCGCTTTGTTCCAGCCACTTTCACCTTCCTTCAGTTCCTCGAAAATGTCAGGCTCTCACTACATCCACGCCTTGCACAGGCTGTTCCTCCCATCTAGAACACTCTCTCCCGTTCCCTCGCCCCCCACTTCCTTTCACTCCTGCTTCCCTTTAGATCATAGCTTAAACTCTCACTTCCTCCCTTTCATCCTCACTTCCTTCTGTGTCTTTATAGGTCACTAACTTTCTCATCAGGCTCGCTTCATATTACATTGTGATTGCTGGTTTATTGCTGTGAACTCTTTTGTGTTACAACTTGTACCTCCAGGACATAGCACCTGGTGGGTATTCAAAAATATGTTTATTAAATGGATGAATGAATGGATGGAAGGATGGATAAATGGTGGGTGGATGGATGGATGGATGGATGGATGCATGGATGGATGCATGGGTGGATGCATGGGTGGATGCATGGATGGATGGATGCATGCGTGGATGGGTGGATGCATGGGTGGATGCATGGGTGGATGCATGGGTGGATGCATGGGTGGATGCATGGGTGGATGCATGGGTGGATGCATGGGTGGATGCATGGGTGGATGCATGGGTGGATGCATGGGTGGATGCATGGGTGGATGCATGGGTGGATGCATGGGTGGATGCATGGATAGATAGATAGATAGATAGATAGATAGATAGATAGATAGATAGATGGATGGATGGATGGATGGATGGATGGATGGATGGATGGATGGATGGATGGATGGATGCATGGATGGATGCATGGGTGGATGCATGGGTGGATGCATGGGTGGATGCAT